AAAAAAAAAACACGATTTATGCATGAATTGTTGTTGTTGTTGTTATTGTTGTTGTGGTTGCTGTTTGGGTGGTTTTAGGTGGGCGGCTTGGGTGACTTTCGGGTGGCTTGGAGTTTTTGTGTCTTGATGATATTTAACAGAAACTGAAACTGTTCTGCTCTCAATTATTGAGATTTATGGAATGAACTAAACGCGCGCGCAATGCCCTGCATAGGAAAAAAATAGTTGTCAAGAAGAGAAAGTAGTAGAAAAAGAAGGAGAAGTAGAAGAAGTTCAAGCTAATCAGCTAAAATCACGCAGCCGATATCTGGTGCTTCTTTGGCAGATGGCCAAATGAAACAGACACACACTCACACACACCCATACACACATGTGCATATGTGCATGTGCATGTGTGTGTGTGTGTGTGTGTTTGCCTAGCATTGATTGTCTCGCTTTAGCTTTATATCGTATGCATGTTGTGTAACGCTTGTTGTTGTAACATATGTTAACATTGTCTGTACTGCTACTGTTAACTGTTAACTGCTAACGGTTTAGCTGTTAACTGGTTTTTTGTCTGTTCTGTTGATTAATATGTTCTGGTTTCTTATACTTTTACTTTTTCTCTTATTTTTTTGTGGTTATATATTTGCTTTGTCTTTTATTTACTTTGTTTGGTATTTTCTGGTATTTTTATATATATTTTTGTGGGTTTTTCTAGTTGGTATACTTACCACCATGCCGCAGGTGAGGGTTATACCCCGTCCACAGTAAGTGTTTGGCACAATGTCGCCATAGCCGACACACAGAAATGTGATGGCCGTTAGCCACATGGTGTTTAGCAAATTAGCGTGCTCCTCATCGTGGAACCTTCGGTTGGGACAATCGATATTCGATAATCGACATTCGATAGACGATATTCAATACGGCATGTGATGTGTGCAATACGTTTATCAAGTTTGTATTTGGTTTTTGATCGATTTATCGATATTGATCATTACAGTTATCGAGTTTCAGTTAGCGATAGTTTATGTTATCGTTGTCGATATCGGTTTCATAGTGCAGTTCAGTTGGTAGCAAACATATATTCACGTATATATACACATATACAGGGGTAAATGTATATATTTATCGATATATATTCGTAGACATACATATCGTTTGTTATCATTTAGTAGTTTTGATAGTTTTTGGCATTGCGAGTATATATATGTATATACATATATAGATCGGTATTTTGATTGTTAATATCGGTATCAGTATCGGTATCGGTATATTCAGTATTCGGTATTTCGGATGCGTATGCGTTTACATAATTTTTTATTTTATTTTATTTTTTTCAGATTGAAATTTCATTTTGCAATTTGTGGATACAGAAGTAGGGTGAGAAGTGGAGTAAACAAATAAACAGATGTGAAATTATGTGAACATTTTTTTAAAAGTATTTTTTGGGTTTTTTGTTGGTATTTTTCATTATCGAAAAGAAACCAAAAATAAATAAATAACAAATAGCACAGATATATTATATTTCTTTTGTTTTTCTTTTTTAAATTTTGTATATATAATAATTAAGTTTTACACAAATCGAACAAAGAATCATAAA